CCATTTTTCCCCTCCTTTTCCCACAGACACCGCGCCATATTCTACGCGGTCTTCCTCCCGACCATGTCACACTCGATAAGGATATATTCCATCGTTTCGACCACCTGGCATTTCGGGCAGACTGCTTAGTTCGCATATTCTGGTCCTAGCTCATCCCAGGAGCTCCCTATCTTGAACGTTCCCTGTATAGCCTTCCATAGGAACCCTCACGCTGGTTTCGACACGCCCTTTCCTCCGATTGTTTTCCACAGCACCGCTGAAGTCGGTCGTATTTTGTTCACTTCTGCGACGGCCTCTTTAATTCTCTCTATCTGAATCCTCGCACCTGACCTTTGTACGATGGGGCGCATCTCTCGTATACCTTTGTAGGCTATTGCTTGAGTCATTTTCGATAGCTTGGCCCCTATTACATCAAACTCGTGGTCTATTTCTAAGCTCGGTTCTACCGCAGCAATTTCGTCTTTCATCGCCCCTTCTAAGGCGACGGCATCTCAGAAGCCCTGTTGATATTTCTTCTTTACGCTCCATCGAGTTCAATGGACCAGGTCCAACCACACGCCATGTAACGCCATGGAGCCTAACCAAGACACGAAGGTCATGGAGGTGAACCAGAAGTTTGAGAAGAAGTGCGTCTTGTCAGCATTAGGTTTTCTGATAGCTAACCCTAAATTGTTATTAGGTGATCGTGGGATAAATTATAGATTTTAGTCCTTGGGACTTGTTGGAGGCGACGATGTCGTGATTATAAAGATACAAGACTTTAGCCGACGATCATATTGAGATAAGCGATAATTCTCCAGCCGCTCACCCGGATATAGCAGGGAACCCTCGCAAACAGGCGAGGGTTATCGTTGTTCATCTAGCTATTTATCTACACTGTACACTTAATAGAAGTAAGACTACGTAGTAAACAAGGCCGAAGAGAAGAACAGGCTTCCTTGCCTGACAACCGAAGATCCCGATGCCAACTGCACTGCGATGCACGACACTCGATACTCCGACAGATCACACGGTGTGCAACTTTTGATAATATGAATCCTATGAATCGGCATTGAAAAACAACACCGTAAGAACGGAAAGCGGCCCGGCCCGCTACCTCGACTTTCAAAAGTGCTTCGATACAAGCCCATGAAAGAAGCTGTTCCAAGTGATGCCCAAAACGTCGGAGGATAAAAGTCAGGACTGAGATCCGGAAAAACGGCGAGTGGGCAGAAATACCTGAGGTGGAGATGGTTGGGTCGCAGTGGGGTTCCCAGAAATCGAAAAAAGTATCGAACTCGGCAGCGTGAGGAGCTAGAATACTGCAAGCTGGGGACGATCACAAGGGAAAGTCGATCAAGACCATGCATGTCAAAGTGGATGAAAGATGAGATGAAGGATAATCGCTTAATTTATCCGCAGGCTAAGCCGCTGTGGTACGGGAACAGACCTTTGTAGATAATGCTCAGAAGTGAGTGAGAAAAATGAAGTCGGCGAAGGAGTGTTGAGATATGATGGTGTCGAGCAATTGTAGACTTGCTCCCAGAAACTAAGGTATCATTGAAGAAGGACATAAAGAGTCAACTACAACTATCAATCGTAATGATTAATCTTTTGGAAGCAATCAAAACTCAACATGATGCCCATCCATAATTCTTGCTCGAGAAGCAAATATAAAGCGCCGACCTCTGCATCGATACACAGCTGGGCTTTTCATCGACCGGCAATGTGGATAGCCAGGATTCAGAAAGGTGAGGGTGCAAAGAAAGTGAACTAGGATAATGTTTGCAATAGCTACCTGCAGCTACTGTGGCCATGACACACTCCAGATGCCAGGGGGGACATCCCGCTAACCACAATTAAATTGAAGAAGAGACGCTGAATGGAAGTACAATCCAAGATAACCGAAATATTGCACCCGTAGCTGGCAATGAAAGGGGAAGAAGCACAGGCATCTCATTATTCATCAAAGTCTTACGCGTAAAGTTCGAGAACTGCCGCAGAGTTTATGCACTGGTGCAGCTCAGAATATCTCCCATACGCGATATATGTATTGCGCTAATCGAGGATACATAACAGGCATGCCAAAAGGTAGTCGTCATGAGCCGCGGAGCGCAGGACAAGCGGTATGCCATCAGCAAGAAATAGTCCGGGCGATGCTCAAGCAAACGGGGAGTAACAATACAGCACCGAAGGGCATGCACTTCATCGTCGAATCACCATTCGTATGAAATATTGGGGCCACAGTGTATCCCCCAACGCAAGACTTCAACAGTAAGGTCGTTGTGAGAGCCAGGATGAATGTAGAGGTAAAAAATAGGGAGCGCTGGGATTCTATGCTGACACAGAACGTGTCACAGACTCCAATCCCCCATGCCGTGTGATATCCTTATTTGCAAGCTAAGGACGTCTCACGGACTTGAAGGGGTAGCAAGGACTAATTAGACACAACAAAAAACACGGTTGGTCATCGACGCAAAACAGTATCGCAAGAAAGACCAGCCGCCAAGAGAATTGGAGGGGTCTGTCATAATGGGAATATAATCATCACTACCTTCCGAGTATAGGGGCAAACGACGCCGAGATGGCGAGCATGGGAAGGAAACAAACGCGAATCGTTGGACTTCCTTATTGGGCGCCACATGGTTCACGTGATGTAGCTAATTAAAACCTCAACGCCTCAGTGTTTGGCGCCCAGCCTCGAGGAGGTCGTCCATCGCGATAATTGCTCTGCAGCTTATAATATTCGACCTTCCCCCCCTAAAAAAGACACGGTATACTGCCCTTGGATAGGCGGATTTTCTACCACCATCGGGAGAATCCTTGACAACAGAACGCGAGAATGGGCAACGGACCTTCGGTGGTATGCGAAAGTAATGGCAAACCCAGCACCTTCGGAGACTTTTACACTGTACTATCTGTCGACAAAGACGCGACGAGTGACCAGATCAGGGTGGGTTTTTTCTATTTTCCCTTGACAGTGGTCTTACCATGCGTAGAAAGCATATCTGAAAAAGGTCGTCGAGACGCACCCTGATAAGAACCTGGAGGACACTGAGGGTGCAAATAGGCGGTTCCGGTTGGTGAAGAATGCTTATGATGTGTGTAAAGTAGCCTTTTTAATCAATGTTTCTTTTTATGACTCACTTTCTGACGGTGGCAGGTCTTGATGGACGACGACGTGAGCTCGGGCTAGTCTCTTTCAGTCTGAATTCGCTGAGGTACTTTTATTATATAGAAAAGAAGGCGGTACAACCTCTGTCCCGAGGCATTTCATCGCGAAGTCTCCGATTGTGATGAAAGCGCCAGGACGACAGCCGAGGATCGAGACGGTGCGTCTGAGTATCCCAACGCCCCCGGTGGGTGGAGGGACGACAGTGGTGAAGATGATGGTGAAGGGGACCATGGCCAGCGCTACCATTTCTTCCCTGGCGCAGAGCCCAGATCTAGTCCCGAAAGCTCGTACGCTGAAGACGAAGACAATGTTTCCTTCAAGGACCTCATCATATTCTTGCATACCCTCGATAGTATGACCTGGACTGCAGGGGAAGATGATCCTAAGGTTTGAAAACCCGCCCTCAGTACTGGTTACACGTAGTTGACAGTCACACTAGAGCGCGTTCAACATCATACCCAAATTCTTCGCCAGCCTTGTTGATGACGAGCTAAACTGGAGCGGGAAGCAGGCTTCGTCGTACCCCTCTTTCGGCGACGCACACTCTGTCTTTGATCTGTCTACGTATACCGACGAGGAACGCGTCAACATTTCCGGCCCCGAAGTCCGCCGATTCTACACCTTCTGGTCCAAGTTCCAAACAGCTAAGCGATTCGAGTGGTTCCAACCTGTTCGTTGCCATAACCCGTATTGCGCGGGTGATCCACAATGCCAGAGGTCGGCTATTCTATTTCCCAGGCTAACTCATTCTGACTCGTGCCCATCACAAGGTTTTGCCAAAAGATGAATAAGAAATGTCAAGATACGATGCGAGATAGGTACAGCGAAATCGTCAAGGTCTGTCTTAGAATTGCTTTGTTAAACAACCAGGGCTGACGTCAATTATAGGTGGTTGTCATCGCTCTGCGCGATAGTGACCCTCGATACAGAACCTACCTTTATCGCAAGAGTATCGGAATGTTTTATTCGTCGTTGAGCGTTCAGAAATTGGACCAAGAGCGACAGCGCCAGAAGCAGAAGAAGAGGGAGAGGAAGAAGGGCAAGAAGGGCAAGTGGTAGAGTGGTTATCGACATTTTCTTTTAATTCAGTTTTTCTTTCCTAAAGCGCGTGCACGCACACACAGATTCACTGCTCTGATCGTCCATATGTACTCATATCATGTAGCTACTCACGTCCTGTATCTATAAGATCCTGTTTGAATATGTACTTCTACTTCGTTGCAATCTAGACACGCAACAGGCTGTCTCTGGGAGGCGTATTTCCAAGGAATTGCATTTATTGAAGTCAGGTTCACACCCATGAGCTGGGTCATGAAGTCTTGAATCTGTGGCATGGAGCTCTATGTTATACGATATCCTAAGAGGCTAACTGGTTTCATTGGACTGGAGAATGAACACTGCATATACACCACTCCCCACATTCTATAATCTTTGAAAATCACATCATGTCCAGGGCCCAAGATCGTGAGTCGTGGTTTGAGGTAGCGCACGAAACGCTAGGCTTTGATACACCAGGGTTTTGGACCGATGATTTACCGGTTAGTTACTGCTAACTTATCTATGTGATTAGATGTGGGCAGTAAAATCACTGTCATATTCAATCCTATTGCATTGATATTCTACTAACCAAGTAAGCCATAGTTCTGTAGATTTTCTCAGTAAATTAGAATTCATGAGAGTAAGAAAGTGTGAAGACAAAAATTCTGTAATCGTCGCACGTCCATCACGTGATGGATAAATAACGGTAGAATACCGCATTAAAGTACCACCCCAGGAGGTGTTGTGCGCAACCATATCGTGGTTTCACGGTATTGCACGGCGCAAAAATCACAAACTTTTTCATACATTCCCTCTAGCCGATTTGAACGACTGACCTCGTCATAACTACATCAATAATCTACCGAGTACTAGTGACGCGCTCTACCAACTGAGCTAAGAGGGAATGTCCCGGTTGGACATAACATTCTTATAGTATCTGGAATCCACCAATACTTAATACACCAAGAGACCAACCTGAGAGCTTTTCTTCAAAAGGTGTAGGTGCATTGAGGAGTACATTGGGGTTTCAATATCGACAGCATTCGCGTCTAATAAGTGGTTTGCAGATAAATTTCCACCCAGCCGCTGAACGCTGATGAGGCGCTTGAAGGCTTGGTGGGATGTGACGAGTCAACGGCAGCGATAAGGTTGCGGAACCATATGAGATGTGCGCGCCAGAAAGGGGTATAACATGACTTGAAACCGAATCGAGACCGCGGGTCTGGGGACCGTCACCGAGGGAATAGGTTTAAATTTTACGCAAGTACCGACAAGCGCTAGTTGAGGGAGGAATCATACGTTTCGAATCAATTGTTCGTTGACGACTCTCCAGGGTCAAATCTCTGGACACAAGGGATTCGCGATTGGCGCTAGAGGAGGACACGTTGATGATGGTATGAAGGGGTTGGCGGTAACCATTTGGAACTGGGGTTCCTGAGATTGGCGAGGATACCGAAAAAATGATACGGCACGTCGTCTCCATATGCCGGAAGAAGGTGCTCGTCAGATTTTCTGCCCCTGTCAACGTTGAAATGGAAAACCTCGTATCGATTCGGATAATACTATCGGATTATGGATTGGAACTAGCGTTGAAGGTATGTATCTGTTTTTAACTTCGAGCTGGACACATAGCATGGCGTTTATCCTTGAGATCACAATTAACAATTGAGTGGATTCCAGTCTTCGACAAGTCCGGGAAAAATCTGAAATAGATCAGAAAAATCGATACATTTCAAGTAATACTTCCAGGGTAAGAGTAAGGTTGGGAGGCACGGAAGAAATCAAGCTTGAAAGTCACTTCCGGGTCGGCATTTGCCGAAGCCGGCGTCATGATCAAAGCGGATACTATTCGGTCCGCCTGGAGGCCGCTTGAGTTTCCTTCACCGTCAACTTGAACCTTGCAACGAGCTACAGCTAGAGCTCAGATTCCGCCTCTAGGCTTTTCATTTTTTTATACGGACGTTTCTGGAGTATATTAGCTCCATGATGCCAACTTTCTAAGGCGCTCTACCTCGTAATTCTCAGTTGGCCTTCAAGTTTCTCCTGAGTTTACCTTGATTGCTGAAAGCTGATCCGCCTTCAAAGGCACTACTAAAGACTCTGGATCAAATGGAGTTCTGTGTCCTCAATATTACAATTTTGCGATGTCTGCCTGGTTCCTGGCAACCCGTCTTATTTGTCAAAAATTTGCTTTGCATATCATGATTTTCTTGGTGGTGATCTATCAGATTCGCTCACAGCACTCTACCTGCAACGAAAGATTTGGCCATTGAGGGCATAATGGAGGTTAAAGATTTCAGATCTTTGCTTCATTGTCATTCAAGTCGACGTTTGAGAGCACTGATGTTGATTTTTGAGGAATTCTCTGTTTCTGTTCACGACTCAAACTGAGGCCAAATTGAAACATTGGCACTGCATCGCGATTGCCGCAACTTGGCCTTGGAACAATTTCCTGACAAGATCATCAGGTCGCTATACGCCATCGTACATAAGACGACTCGTAGGTTCGTGTTCGTTATCTCTACACTAGCACCCTTCCAACACAAACCAGTTGAAGCCGCAGCCTCCCTCACAATGTCTGTCAAATCTGTCAAGCACGTAATCTCTGCATCCTACCATACCATTCGGTACGCCATCTCTTGAAGCGCCATCCACGTAGCGATGTTCATGACCTTTTCAGTCACACTCTCAAGAGAGGGTCAGTCAGGTTCGTACCTCGGGGCTCTGCTGTTTATTCCCTTCCTGATTGGTTAACTATTAGTCCTTCGAATTCAAACCAGACTTTTGTGGGGTATGCGAACGTTACAGTGTTGAACATGCAGCACATCGTCTCACTCAGGACTTCACAGGTATCTTCCTCGGGGAAGTCAAACGACCCAAAGCCAGGGCTCCCGCGGAAATTCTGGAACCAAGGGACATGGTTCTAAATAAGAGTCTGCGCATATGAGCGAGTCCTCTGTCCCATAGTCGTCCACGGAAGCTCATTCATGTTATATTACAATCTTATATATATCACTCAGATCCTCTTAGACTACTATAGAGCCATATAGACACGCATTTGTTTACCTTTTATATTATGAGACTATCAGTTTGATACTGCGACAAGTCGAGAAGGTTCTGACACGATGTCCTTGGGCATAAGAATTGAGTATCAGGAGAAACAAGGTCAAGGGGGGGGGGGGGGGGGGGGGGAACAGGGTGTTGCAGGTTACAGATACAACTTCTGCAAATCGGTGAAAGAGGGAAATCGGTAACGATATATTACAGTAGCATACTAATCTCATGAACATCGGTCAATCATAAGAATGCACTGAAATAAGCCGGCGTCCCTGTATCGCTTAATTGTAACTGAGGAACGGTGTTGTCCCTGCAACGCCATGTTTCATCAACCCAACATGGTGACAGCAAGATCCCGATGTACCCAGAGCAAGAATAGGAACTTGTGTGTTGAGGATAACCTCTCTCCAGACTACTGAACGCAGAATAAAGAAAGCTGCAATGCCACTAAAGAGAACACGATCTAGAATACAAAACTGCTCAGTTTTTAGTGAGCCAAAAGAAAACACGCTATGCAAAGTTTTCCTTCAATACCGACAACACTGAAGCATAGGTTGACTGATAAAGGAAATCTTGAAATGCATGAGCCAGAACGCCTTTTTCATTTTTAGTTTAACCTCCATGCGCAAAGCTTGATGTCGATGGGCCTTGACTATGCCTCGATGGAAAATAAAGCGAAAAATTTGGAATCAGCTGATGGATTCTGATTCAAGGGGAAGTCAGATCTGAAGATCCACCACTACGTTCATCTACCAATCATAGTTCCGAGCTCAAACCCGAGGATGTGAACTTGAAGCAGTGATCTTCGTGCCGAGAGTGATCCTCGTATATCTTTTATGCCTGAAAACACTTCTTCGGCCATGAAACAATGCATGAAAAATAAGACTAAATTCTTCCGGATCCAATTTACATGCGCTATCGTATAGCCATTTGTCTTCACTCCGGAACGTCTCTCTTGATGTAACAAATGAAAGATCTGCGTCATTCAATGATCGCTAGCCGTATGTGCCGCGTGGTACGTGTTATCACAGTGATACTATCAAGTCCAAGGAGCGATACGGAAACACGTACTACCAATCTGGATATGTGTTTCCAGTACATGATTCTTTTGATAATTGTGAAATTGACGCGTCCAATACGGACGTTGAAACTATCAGCGTCGGGCACCAGATGACTTTCGTCACGTCTTTTGACAGTATATTATAGATGGACTTTACATCAAACCACAGTACGCTGTGATATAAAAGACGGTGAATAAGATGAGTTTTTATTCACCACTTCCTCGCAATTTCACGGTTTAGACCCACTAAACCTATTAGAACACCATCCACAACATGAGATTCAGCGACTTCCAATGCCTCATTTCTGCTTCCATCCAAGGTGTTCGGTACGTATTCTTCAGTACTCTATTCTACTCGCGAACCAGTTCTTACGGCTATAAAAGCAACCTTCACAAGGGACACGCATCGAGGTTCGCACTTTCAGGCATCTCACATCAATTATTAACTCTCTGATTGAATATTCTTAGTAGCCATTCGAAGCCATACCAAGGATCCTTGGGGTGTGCGAACTGTTGAATTGAAGAAATATCTCACTAAATAACTGAATTACAGATATGTCCCCCGCGGAGGCCACACCCACACTAGTCAAGGTTCCAGCAAGCCTGGAGGCGGAAAGCCTCAGAAGCCCGGGACCAGGTAAAGTTTGACGAGTTACGGAGGCTCGAGTCTAGCGAGGAATGATCCACATTCATATCTTACATCTATCCTCCAGAAATAATTCATATTCTCTTAACATTCTCTAGTCATTACCTATAGCTATATATTCATATAATCTAGTTCTTTCTTTTCTTCGCAGCAAGCACAAGCTGCGCGCTAGTCCCTCGTTTCGTGCTACTAGATTCGTCAATATCATACTTACACTGGTATTCCTTTATATACCTACGCTAATACATATGTCTGTTGGTTTCATTGGTATGAGAAATCATGCATTCTCTGTTGGAATACCAAGTGTCGCACATCAAACTGTATTCGGGGTCTTAGGTTGTTAGGCAAGGAAGCGTTGTTCTCCTCCTCGGGTTTATTTACTACATAGCATTGCCTCTATTAGTGTACATGGATGTAGATAAATAGGTAGATGAATGAAGATGACCCTCACCTGTTTGCGAGAATTCCCTGCTAAAATTCAGGTGAGTGCTGGAGAATTACAGCTCATTGTAACATTATCATTGGCAACACGTTGATCCCGACAGAGATACGAAGGTGATCGACACTGGCAGAAGACATTTGACTTCAATTCAACTTTAGCCTTCATTTCTATTTTCTCTGAATGTCTGAAAATAATGTCAACGACAAATTTTAATGGGAGTTTCTCTTCAAATAAGGGTTATATCGCCTAGTGCTCCCGCAAAGAGCCTTGTAGCCAAGAATTTGAGAAGCGATATGATTTGCGGAAATTGCCGAGACTGGTCAAAGCCTCTATGTAGTACAGCAAATAGCTTTGAAAGCTTCCTATCGAATAACGGGATGCCTTTGCCAAGCCAAGTACGAGACTTGGTCCTATTCCAAGCTACTGCCTCGTGGGGAGTTGCCTCAAATTTGCCCTCCGTTACCGTTATGTGACACCGAAAAAAAAAGTCACGCAATGAACTGGTTCGCAGAGCAATCAATCGTACACGTGGCCCACGCGCATCACGCAATTGAGCCACTCGCTGAGAATGAAGGATATTTGAAGCTTGAAGTCTGACTTGGTATTGTTGTGAAAAACGGGGGATGAATAGATCAGTTCGTTCCCAGTTAGTATATGCGCGGTGTCAGGCCAATAGTATTGCGCTTGGCTGAGCTCTGC